CAGGGGAGGTCTGATTAGGGTTCTGTTAGGTGGACCTTTGCAGTGAAAATCAGATCAGAGAAATCTGCAGCTGGAGACCTTTTTCTGAAATTTTCTGGCTGCTGTCTGTGAGGATCTTGACAGCCTTGGAGAGGCTGCTGAGGGAGTCAGGAGGCCTGCATTCTGTGGCCATCCACTTTGCCAGTGACACCAGATTCCTCATTTTGTAGATGGCTTGGGAAGCCACTAAAATCTTACATTTCTACATTTTAGAACCTGTCTGAGTTTACATTTGAGGCCCATTATGTTAGTTTCCTAGGGCTGCCATAACAAAGTATCCCAAACTGGGTGGCTTAGAACAACAGACATTTACTGTCTCACAGTGCTAGAAGTCCTGATTAAGTCCTGATTATGGTTTCACAGGATCCCGTTGCCGCTGAAATCTTTGGAGAACAACTTTTGACTCTTTAGCTTCTGGTAGTTTCAGGCATTCCTTAGCTTACAGTATAATTGTAGTGTGTGCCTCTGTCTTCACCTGGTAGTACCCGGTGTCTCTTTATGTAGTTACCCCTCTGTGCTATCTCTGTTTAGATTTCTTCTCTTTATAACATCAGTCATTGGATTAGCGCCCACCTAATAACCTTGTTTTAACTGACAACCTCTGTAAAGAGCATACTTAGGAATAAGTTGACATTATGAGGTACTGGGGACTAGGATTTCCATATTTTTTTGGGGGAGGGCATAGTTCAACCCTTAATGCCCATCATTTACATTTTCACCTATCTCAGCTTTATTTGCTTACATTCTTTATAAAGTATGGTTGTGTGCAACCTGGTGTGCCACCAATTGGCTTTTATACCCTGGTATAGTGTAGATTCCTCTGGAAATGAAGCAGAGCCTTTGTAGGAAAGAATGTAATAACCTAAATGCCTTCAGTTACATGTCAGTCACTCAGCAAATATCTGTTGGACTAGCTAGATATTAGGTGCTATTATATGTCAGAAGCATTTCTGTTTCACTAACTTATTTTGTGCCTCCAAGTATTATGATTGTTATTTTGTGTCTCTAAGTATGAGGTTAAAATTATCTTACAGCAGGCTGGCCGGTGGCTCATGCCTGTAATCTCAGCACTTTGGGAGGCCAAGGCAGGCACATCACGAGGTCAGGAGGTTGAGACCAGCCTGGCCAACATGGTGAAACCCTGTCTCTAGTAATGTTACAAAAAATTAGCTGGGCATGGTGGCATGTGCCTATAATCCTAGCTACTTGGGAGGCTGAGGAAGGAGAATCACTTGAACCCAGGAGACAGAGGTTGCAGTGAGCTGAGATTGCGCCATTGTACTCCAGGCTGGGTAACAGGGCGAGACTCCATCTACAAAAAAAAAAAAAATTACCTTGTAGCAAAACTTTTTTCCTTTTTTTCCTTTTAGGAGTTTGCTATAAAATGGGAGTTCTGATTATACTCATGGTTCTGTGGCTGTTCTCCTCAGTAAAGGCGGACTCAAAAGCCATTACAACCTCTCTCACAACAAAATGGTTTTCCACTCCATTGTTGTTAGAAGCCAGGTAAGAGAACATTTTTTTTCCCTTCACATATTTGAGTATAAATACAGGCTCTGACAGTGAACATTTGAGAGCTTTTTAAGGAGTGAGATTATCATCAAATGCATTTATGAAGAGCCTCTTTCAGTGTGCATTGTGGTATGTGTTGTACAAAGGCTGTTAGGGCACAGCATTGTTCAGTAGGACATGGGCTCTATGGGTTTATAGAGAAATATAGAAACTTTAGACAAATAACTGTGTTGGGTAAGTTAGTATGTTGCTTTCCAAAAAGCATAACAAGGGAAGAGAGAGTTATGTTTATTTGTTTAGTTTTTGAGATAAGAGTCTTGCTTGTTGCCCAGGCTGGAGTGCATTGGTGAGATCTCAGCTCACTATGACTCCACCTCTCGGGTTCAAGGGATTTTCATGCCTCTGCCTCCCAAGTAGCTAGGTTTACAGAAGTGCCCCACCACGCCCAGCTAATCCTTGTATTTTTAATAGAGACAGGGATTTTGCCGTGTTGGCCAGGCTGGTCTCAAACTCCTGGCCTCATGTGATCTGCCCACTGCCCACCTCGGCCTCCCAAAGTGCTGGGATTACAGATGTGAACCACTATGCCTGGCCGGTTGTATTTAAATTTTTTCCTTATTTGAAGAAAGTTTTAAGAGGTGATTGATCAAAGGAAGAGAAGAGGGCTTTGCAACGTCAGGGAAAGAGGACATATTTCCCTTAAGAACCTAGAAGAAGGCTGAGTTTGTTGGCTCACAACTATAATCCCGACGCTTTGGGAGGCCGAGGTGGGTGGATCACCTGAGGTCAGGAGTTCACGACCGGCCTGGTGACAATTAGCTGGGCCTGCTGGTGCATGCCTGAGCATAAGATTAGGAGATGATGCCCATGAAGCTCAGTCTTTCTTTTTAAATGACTGAAAACATGGCTAGGCCTGGTGGCTCATGCCTGTAATCCCAGCACTTTGGGAGGCTGAGGTATGTGAATTGCTTGAGTCTAGGAGTTTGAGACCAGCCCGGGCAATATGGGAAACACATCTCTCCAAAGAGAAACCCAGGGAA